TGTCTGTCTGTGTGTCTGTGTGTCTGCGGGTCTGTGTGTCTGCGTGTCTGTGTGTCTGCGTGTCTGATTTTCAAGCATGTAAAGGTTGGTGCATAGAGTTTCGAAAGTCAGGATGTTGTGTCTCTTATGTCTTGCAAGCTCTGAGGAGTTTGCACACAGCGTGTTCCTACAGCTGGGTTCCGCAGTCACGCCCTTCGGACAGCGCCTGCGTTCGTCGGTATTTCAGCTTCTCCTGTGACCCGGATCCAGGATCAAGCGCAAGCAAGATCATCCAAACGACGCGTCAGATCTTCGACCCTCTGCCCTGAGCAAACAATGTAGGGGGCAGTCCTGCTCCCCCTCCTCAAAATCCAAAGTCCCGCAGTCGACGATCACCTGTTTCAGCGTTGCTGGTTTGGAGTCGGCAAGGGTGAGCATATCAGCTACTTACATATATGTATATATATATATACACACACACACACACATAAGCTACTTAACGAGTGAATAAGCAGGTCGTCAACAGGGTTACACAGCTACAGCAGTCTGGCTGACAAGTCATACCAATTGAATTCCATCCCCCTTATGTCTGATGCTGCCAGCTTAGAGTCAAGGCCTCGAGCTTCCAAGCCCTACCTATAGTCTCCATTGTAGTTCCTTTTTGGGTATACCTTAGAAAATCCTTCATATATAATTGGTTAAACCAAAAAAAGAACTACAATGGAGACTATAGGTACAACCCTAAAGCCCCAAGCCCGACAATCCCTAGCCCTATGTGGAAGTGCCTGTGAGTTCTGATCCAAGAGACATAAATCAAACTCAGGCGGGCGCTGCATTCTCCTCTGGCTCACCACCGGTGGTGCCTGTAGTAAAGCAGTGAACTTCCGAAGGTTGATTGCTGGTAAATGAATTCTGGGGGCCTGTCGGCATCTGTGCAAAATGGTGTCACATCTCTGCCGTCTCTTGCTTTCATGGCCCGCAGGGCTCTTCAACTACTATGGCGACTGTCCGCAAGGTCCGCAACGGGTGTGAAAGCTTCTTGAGACCATCCCGTTCCTTTCGCCCAACGTGGGGTTCTCAAATTTGGGTCCTCCGGGCCTCAAAGGCTCTTACATGGACTTGAGAGGTTCTCCGGTGCGATGCCCTCTGGAGCAAGCCTTCTGCTTGCACTGCCCCTGCCCCTTTTTCGATATATTCGACAACGTCTTTCACACCACAGTCGCTTGCAAGCGTGCGAGAGAAGAGCAGCTACAACATCAATGCACGCATGGTCGGGCAGGGAGCGAGAAAGAGCCGAGCTGCGGAATATGTCGCAGCAGCATACACAGATGATGGTGAATCACGAGGTCGTCGGTTAATGTTTTGAAGGTGTTGTAAGTCCGTCTCATAAGCAACTACTATGAAAGAGGTACTTGGCCTAAGAGGCTGCAAAACTATACGCGAGAAATCCAACACGCTTTAATGACGGGAGCTGTAAGGATCCGGCCCAAGGATTCAACTGCCTTCACCACCTCATAACCTTTCAGGACCTGTGGCGTCAAGACGCTGCATGTAATGAAACTTGGGTGTAAGGTTTGGTTCTGACAAGTTCGCCTTACAAAGGGTGCAAAGACTGGACCTGTGTGCCGCCAAGCAAACGGCCTTAACGGAATCTGTACATCAAGATGCCCTGACCGCCTCGAATACGGATTCCAAGCATCCATGAAAGTCATCTCAGAGGCTACCGCCTATAGCTTGATTGGCATGTATTCTGCTGTTGCTGATGAGGAGGGATGAAGATATCTGATGGTGGTGCTAGATTCTAGATGCTGACCAGGAATACGATGACGATGAGGTCGTTGCTGTAGTGAAACAAATGAAACTGTGCAAGCATACGCACAGAAACTGCTGAGCACACTCGGCGATGAGTTGACTGACACAGCCGAGAACCTAAGTTCTGTGACGAAGTAATTCAACATTGTCAGCTGACATATCCAACTAGCTAGCTAGCTAGCGAACTGGCTAACCAGCCAGCCTGACAGCCAGCCAACTTGCGTACCTACCGACGTACCTATCCGCGTACCTACCTACTTGCGCATACCTGCCTGCCTACCTACCTACCTACCTGCCTACCTACCTACCCACCTACCTACCTCCCTCGCTCGCTAGCCTGCATACGCGCACACACACACAGAGATATATATATATATATATGTATATGTGGATATATATATATATATATGTCTATGTATCTACACATACTTATACATGCACATACACGCACATATGCATGCATGCGTGCATGCGTGCTTGCGCAGACATACATCCATGCATGCATACATATATACATACGTACATATGTATTGAGAAAAGAAAAGACAAAGAACAATTCAAAAAAAAATAAAAAAAAACAAATATAGAGAGCGAGAACAAAAATAAACAGAGAGAGAAGGGGCTAGCTCATGATTCTACACATGATCACATATCCCGAGATCCCTTCGATGGTCACGGCTGCCTCACCGAAACCGACGTACTTGAAATTGAGGTGATCCGCCTGCGCAGACATCGAAGCCCGAGAACTAAAGCTCTAGCGTTCCTTCAACGGCCCTTTTCAGGTTTATTCAACCCTGAACCCTCCCTAAACCTTTAAGGAACTCCCACAGTCTAGGGCTTTCGCAGGGTTCAGGATGGGTGCGAGCTTCTGGGATTGCCACCGAGGGGGCTCGGGCAGTGCACCTAACGTAGGGAATGTAGGGTTTAGGGCTTAGGGCTTAGGGCTTAGGGTTTAGGGTTTAGGGCTTAGGATTTAGGGTTTAGGGTTTCGGGGCCGCAATAGTTGCGCAGTACGAGCAATTAGAGTAGGGCTTTGTGCTCCTGTCTTACAGTATGATGTAGCTGATCATTTAGGCAGTTTAGGCTTCGATTACGTCTCAGAGTTCAGAAGGGCCCCAAATCCTGAGCGTCCTTCATTGTATCATAGTAAGGATCCTACCATCCCAGGGGCTCCTCCCTGTAAGGAGCCTACCTGGCGTATAAACGGGCTTATGCCGAAGCCCGGCCTTCTAGAAGGGGAGAGTCAAGATGCTACGTCAGGACTTCAGGGTTTAGGGTTGTGGGGCTTTAGGGTTTAGGAGTTTAGGGTTTAGGATGTGTTCTTGTCACCCCTTTTCCTCTGACACTGCTTAGGATTTGGGGTTTGGGGTTGAGAAGTGTGAGGCGCCTAAGTGCTTTGACCCTAAACCCACAAGAAGCGTTCGCCTTGGGTCTTCGGAAGGAACTTATTCTTTAACTTCTTCCCTGGGCCTCCAACAACTCCCACATTGGAACTTTGCAATCGGAAGAACCGGCCTTTTCTGTCAGGTGCTTAGTAGGGAATGGAAAAATGGATCCCTATGATAGTCCCTTAAACCCTAAACCCTAAA